TATGTCAACATAAGATAGTTATTCAGTAACAGACAATGTAGGCCTACATAAACAAGATGTGAAAACATAATATTAACAATGACTAAGAATGTACGTGTTTTGTATAATTGACATTGTCTGAAAGACCTTCTGTATAAATCTACTGAGAGAGCTCAGAGGGAATGGACATAAGCCGGTGATATGTGTGGCTAGTCTTTATATGGTTCATTACCTGGGATTCAACCACGACAATGCTGCTCCTTTTCCCTCACTATGTCTACATGAAATGTGTGGCTAGTCTTTGTTCATTTCATTACCTGGAATTGCACAATTATAATGCTTCTCTTCCCCCCTCAATAACCCACAGAATTTTGTGTTAATTTAATTTATGTTTTATTACCTGGGACTATTTCACGACAGTATTTATAATCCAACCTCTTAATAACTACATGAAATATTGATATTTGTTTGGTCTATTACTTGGGTTTCAGCCATGACAATGGTTAGTACTCCTTTTTGATCCACTACATACATGGAATATATAATGGACATTTTGTTTATTGTTTACTAGTTGTGCTTGGATTTCTTCCTACGGACAACAACGTCTTGGGATAAGTGTGGATATTTCAAATTTAGATATAACCTTGCTATGATTTGTTTTTTATTGCCTGTATTTTTATGAATTATCACATGGTGTGCTGACAGTTTTGATACTCACTTTAATTTATCTGCACTAAAAGTGTGGCTGATTATAATTTTGTTTGACTGTTATTTTATTACTATGTGGCAGATTTTCTGGAATATCATTGTACGTGTATGATGTCTTAATTGTTAATTTACCTCGGATTATTTTATAGTAGTATTGATGCTCCCTGTCTCAAACATCCACTTAAAAATGTTTACCTACTCTTTGTGAGATCCCAAGGATCACCTATAAAATCATTATCAATTGTGTGGCCAAACTTATTGTGGTTTATTACCAATTTTTATTCCAGAAAAGTGCCTATAACACCATTAGTAATGGGTAAAAAGTTTTTTTTTATCATGCACTGAACATGCCCGGGTAATCCTGCTCTCGTCCAAAAAACATTATCTACATGTAAATGATAGGACAGTATTTTTAAGTGTTTATTTCAGATTCTCAAACCAGTGATAATTAGGATCCCAGATTTATAATCTAGGCTTGTGTAACGATACGGCTGGGAGCACCCGAACCATTCCTGTATAAATGCATGGACAGAAATAAGTGGTTCATCGAGAATGATGCTTTACAGCTCACTTAAAATATCTGCAATGTTGACCCAGACTGTGTAAGGCTAGTTTCAGGAATTGTAACTATGATAATGCTGCTTGCCACCCCTTCTCATATCAAATACAAATGAGGTCACAATACTCCGTTCACAAAATTTAAGTCATTTGAAGGGACGTTATTTCATCCCATCCACATCACCTTTAATTTCAAACAACAACATCTGATCAGCTGGCTTATACAAAAAAGTGTATAACTCAACTAAGTGGTAGAGGACCCAGGAAAGCTTCCCCTCAAACCCCCTGAATTTTTATGAATGAAGTTTAGTACTACGTATGATACCTTAAAGACCATTTGATGCCAAACCACGCAAAATGTGACATGACATTACTAATATGTATAGTATTCTACATCATTGAACTACAATTATTTATATTCTTTAGGTTAAATCATAGTTATTATATCTGTCGTCTTAAATGAATAAATTAATGTAATAGAGGACTGTAGCTTGTGAAGTATTGTTTTATTCTTTTAAGAAATAACCTTACAAAACAATTATAATTAGCAACTACAAAATACAAATCCAATACCTACGTACTAGTGTTACCTGAAGGTCCGGACAGTTTATTGTAGTCTACTACGTGGATGCTTTTTATATATATTTCCTAAGTTCCACCATAGTTTGAAAGGTAATGTTGGTACTCAATTTTGCAAAGTGTAGATCCTGCACTAAGTGTGTAGGCTTAATCAACACGTCAAAGAAGCGGCTCGCTTGTTAGCAGCTTTTGGTGCGGCGTGTGTGTTTTAATGACTCCGCATTTGTTTTGTAACCTGTAATTATGCAGTACAAGCTTTGAAGCGACCAAAATGACATTAAATTATTTATAAGTCCTAATAATGTTTCATAATTTTTCTGCCAGGTGAAAACTGTTAGGTATTTTCGAAATACCAACAGACAATAAGTGATATTTCTTTTGCAGAAGTTATGTGTATTATGTTTTAGTTTGGTTTAACTAAAATTACGTGTGTTTGCAATTCCTAACGTGGCTAATCACATAGGCAAACCGAAATTAAAGAAAGTTTTAAATGCCTGAATCAACGCTAGTATGTTTGTTATGTAATCCACCAACAGAATCAGGCAAATAGTGTTTATTTAGATACATTTGGTTACAAACACATGCACTATCTTTGGGCTGCAAACAGAAGGGATCATCCTGTGTACCAATTGATAAACTTCAATTCAGACCAGCTTTGGCGGCGAGTGCTTTTCACCGATACTACATCGACATTACAATTAGACTTTTTCTATTGGTGCAATATAGCTTTTAAAAAAATATAGTTTTGAGAAGTGTTAATTACACATTATTATTCCCTTTTGAAAAGGGCTTCACGCAAAACTAATTATTGCATAAATTACTTTGGAATTGAATCGGGTATTTTTTTAAACACTTATCAATTATTGAATATTCATTATGAAGTATGGAAAAAATTTTGAATAACAATAATACCTTTTCAAAATACTGCAATTATATGCTTTTCCAATACTATAGGAACGCACTTGATTTCGTATGTTGACATTGTACCAATCAACAGTATAGTAAGTCGTTCCTAACTTACAACCATGACGGAGTTTACTTATATTATGGGTACTATTAATTAAATACTAATATAACCGCAATACTACATTTTCTCATAATAATCAACCGAAAGGTATATTCAAATTCTATAATAAAGATAAAAAATACGTATACGTTTTTCATGCTATAAATATCGGGTAAATTTGCAATGTCTTATTGTTAATTTTAAAAGAGCAACTTACCGGTTACAGGTGAGTTATTGATCTCCTTTTGTGCAACCTTCATATACATAACTCCCATCAAAAATCCTATTCATTAATTAGATTTCAAATGTTTAAAGGGACTAAAAGGACTTTTAAAAAGAGTGAACCACATCGTAGAACCGTGCACTTAGCCGAGCACAGGCTCTTATTGCATTATACGCCATACGACCAAAGCCCTCAGATTAGATTATGCGTAAGTCCTTTTATAAAGGACAAAGGGAAAATCATTTGCAGTTTCAGGGAAAGGCAAGAGGTTGTAGATTCAGTTGGTCTTTCTATGAATAATAGAATTTCAAGGTTCGTATGATTCTTGAATATATTTATTGCACCCTTTTACCTTTGATGTTGTAAGTTAGGTAGTTTTTGTTTGGATACAGGATACAAATAGTAAAGGTGTGTACTATTTATGAATTATTAAGTGTATAAATTAAGGCTAAAATAATGTAGAAATAGATAATTTCTATGTGTCTAATGATTGTGACAAGGCAAATACCATTGAGCTATCATTTATTAATTAACTTCCTAGAAAAAGGTTTACAATAAAAAGGTTAAAATTGAGAAAAACATTTAAAAATCAGTAAAACCCAAAGTAATGGAAATTAAAGTAGGCTATGCAAATTGAAAACCGTGTTTTTACATAAATCGTACACTACCAAAGTACTACTTTATTTGCTGTAGCCTTCTTGATCATGTAAGTTGCAACCTAATTTTGACTAAAACTAAATTTAAACTTATTGTGCTATAACAGGTTTTATGTAGCTCGTAAACAGACCTTTTTTATTGACCACTGTTATTGTATATTCTTAGAAAATGTGTTCTCTTGCCTAGATATAGCAAATGGAAACAAAGCCTAGATCGAAACAATATTAATTACTGTGTTCATAAAAATAAATTCCTGTAGGCTGTTTATTTTCTATTATAATCTGACTGTCATATGTATTATATCCGACTAAAACCGCAATTTCATAAAAGAATCAACTGGTTTCTCGAAACATGTAGAGTCAGAGTGATTCCCATCGCCCAGCCTAGCTGTGTTGGGCTGCTTGTTCTGAACGGTGCTGTGGTTTTGCCCCACAACCACATTACGTAGCGCTGATGAGCCTTTCATACAAGTCGGTCTATTAACTTACCTAAACATAGTCCAAGTTCCTCCTAACCTCATGTATACGTGAATCAAATATATATAAGTCAAGTTTTAGAGACTTATTAACTGACAAATAAATATAATTGTCCTATATTTAAGAATTATACACATACGGTTATTTTTTTAAACAGCTTTAGTTCATTTTGTAACGGGAGTTCTCCATCTAAATGACACATGCAATTGCGTAATGGAAGCTTAAAGCAATAGCTTAAACAGTTTTTAGTTGTGTTACAAAAACTTTATAGCAGTACAAATCCTGATCATTTTAACGGAACACATTGAGATGAAATGAAATCAATTAATAAGCCAATTCAAATATTTTCTCAGATTTGTTTCATTGATTTTATCTTTAATTAACTAAGTAAAAATATCTGGATTAAACCAGACTCACACTCAGGGATATCAGTTACTTAAGTTATATGATATGGAATTTTGATGATGTCTCGAAACATTCACTTATAAACCATAGCTTCACTTCCGGAAGCTGAGGCTCAATAGAAAAATGAGCCATTATTACATAATGGCCTTCTCAGAAACCTTAAAACGCTCGTCTTCATTAGCCTTAAGAAAAATATGTTGAAGCTAGATACAAAATACAATATAAAAATCAACTGTTATTCTTGGTTTCGATCATAATTGTCATTGTTGTTATGTTTGTAATACCCCTATATATACATTTATAACACTAGATACCAATTCTGATATTTATTATCAGTTTTGTGTTATTGGTTTTATTTTTCACCTGAGTCATCGTTGAAACCAGTCCATAACTAAAAAATTTCTGCAGATAACAGGTTTTGTTATATATTTATTATCAACGTGTGTACACGATGTCCAAAAGTCTTGAGTAGTTTTTTTTATATATACAAAAATAAAGTATAATGTAAATGTTATGTTTTTAACTATATTCAAACTTAGCGTTTACTGTTTCTTTGTTTTACACCGTAGTTGAGACTGAGGCTTTACAATGTATGTTTGGATGTAGAAGTTGACGAAGAAGGCTGCAATCACGGCTACGTTGATGATCCAAATGACATTGAAGTCCTGTGACACTTGACAGTCCTGGTGGTACAGAAGCCACAGATACAGGATCACTACTGCAAACTGTCCCTGTGGATTGTTTATTACTTATCAATATTAAAATACTAGCTTAAATATTGAAATAAAAATATAATATGTCTGGGTAACCACATAGTCTCAGATGTCATTTGTCATTTGACTATCAATTTATGGTGTTTTAGAATTTTTTTTTAAGAGGTTGGCGGCCTCTTTTAACCTTGCATTTGCCCGTCCACATAGACTACAGATCTGTGCGTGGAACGTATCCAGCAAAGCAAGGGGTGAGCCGGTACAGTACAAAGGTGAACTGTACTGATAAAAGATAGTGGCAGTGACCAGGATCCGAACCCACTCAAATAAATAAGTTCAAAATAAAATAATACAAAAAAAAATAAATAAAAAAAAGAAATAAGTTCAAAGTTCAAAATACATGTAATAAATAGAAAAACATACTTATTTATTTTGTGATATTTCTCTTTTCTTGGAAACTGTCATTTAAATGTAGAATACCTATGAAATCGTATTATTTTACCAGTGTCAGTCGAATTGATTGAATAAATGATTAAACAATTGATACAAACCAGTTGGAGTGTAGTAAGATATTTCTTCCACCAGAGCTGTTTTTGCATCCCAGGGCCAAATGTAGCGAGAAAGTAATAGAAATACATGACGCAGTGAACTGCCGTGTTAATCAGTGCTGGTATTGTCGCTTGCTGAGCTGTAAATGTGACGAACAATTAAAACTAAAATGTAATACACACGCCACAGCAATCCTACAGACTAAGTGAATTTCCATTTACCTGGCTGGATATCTACAAAAATATTTCCTAAAAATGTTTAGATTTCATTACTATTTAAATAACATTAATGTTATTGAGTACTTAGGTTTGCTGCTATAAGGATAATATTAAGGTGTGTTTTAGCGAATTTTCCAAAGCATCAATATACAAAATTATTTCTTTTTTAAGCTCTACAAAATTGTTTGGAGAGAAATTATTAAATTTTGTGTTTTTAGGATCAAAAATAGGAAAATCAATTTTTACCCCATAAACCCCTCGTTCTTATAAACATATGTTTACACGTTTGTACCAAATTTTATCAAAATCGGATAAACTTAGCTCATTTTGAGTGGCTCAATCTTGTTAGTGACTAAGGCCGACATGTTTCTTAGACGAGAGTGTTACTTAAGGATGGCAACTAAGGTACCTACTGTTTATAGTGGAATCCGAAACACATTTTTGATTTGTATTTTACGAATTGGTCTAATTATCATGATAAGACTGCGGAAAGTCGTAGTACTCATTGTGCTACTCCACACCAGGGAGTATCGCATCCACAGATCATGCCTATAAATATCCACAATTCGTGACTTCCAAGTAGCTGGATTACAGGACTATGTAGTTATATACTTACAGCTATATAAAACAGCCTTATAACTATATAAACTACATATGAAAAGGTATGGTTGAGGAAACTTACCTTTAATGTATTTATTACTGTACCAAGTAAAAACCACCATAGCGCAGTGGTGGTAAATGTGTAGAAATGTTATATGTGTGTTCTTCTTGCGTAAAACCATAAACACCTGCAACAATAACAAATGGTAAGCCTTACTGGCATTGAATAAACAAACCATCTTCCTTAAACATACATTTCGGAAACCTCCTTTCATTTTGATGAACTGATTTCCTGTACGTAAATCTATTTCTAAGTCAATGTGGATTGTTACAATTCAAATTATTACTGTTATAACATACATCCCTGTTATTATTGATGTAGAATTACACCACAATAACACTATAAGTTACTTCTTTTACAAGGGTTAATTTTTCCATGACGAACTCAAACAAGTGGAATTCGTAAATACCATAGCTGGCATTCTAACTTGACAACATGTTCAAATTACAGCACAATATAGTTGTAGTAGCTTAAACTGCACTGGTTCGTTTCGACAGTAACCAGGTACCTTGATTTAAACAGAACCGGTTATACGAGTTATACGAGCAAGTGCCTTATTTAAAGTAAAAATAACTAAGTTTTACGTCGATATAAAATAAATATGTGGTAATTTGAATAATTTACAACCATTACTATGCTTTACTCAGTTGGTCAACAACTAGATAATGTTCGATGGCATATTAGCCGCTTAGAACAGTTTGTCATACCTTTACAATAGAAATTGATAAGACTTTACATACCAATGATAACAATGTTAAAGATTTCGATGTATTTAAGTGGTATACTTAGGAACTTACCGTGTCAAATAAGTCCAGAAGTTTCAAAACAAAGTAATGCCAAGAACAGTAAAGGAACTAAAACAAAAAACTAAACATAAAAATGAAGATAAACATAAAATGAAATGAGGAAATGAAATGATATTTATTCGTCTATAGACATTATACAGGGTGTCCCGGAACTCTCTACCAATATTTTAGGGCATTGATCCTGGGTAAGAAACGTACCTAAATATCATATTTAAATTGTCCGGAAGTCCTTAGTTACTCACACAGCCGCCATTTTGATTTTTTCAGTTATAAATTTTTTTCTACAGAATGGTTAAACATACGAAATGGAAACTTTGTACAAACATTTATGACAACTAGACAAAGCTACAAAAAAATTATGAAGATTTTTCAAATTCATAAAACAAAATGGCGGACATTTAAAATTTTCATTCTTAAATAACTCAAAAACCATTGATTTTACATAAGTTTTAAATGGCTGCCATTTTGTTTTATGAATTTTAAAAATCGTGATAATTTTTTGGTAGCTTTGTTTAGTTGTCATAAATGTTTGTGCAAAGTTTCCATTTCGTATGTTTAACCATTCTTTAGAAAAAAATTAATAACTTAAAAAAACAAAATGGCGGCTGTGTGAGTAACTAAGGACTTCCGGACAATTTAAATATGATATTTAGGTATGTTTCTTACCCAGGAGCAATGCCCTAAAATATTGGTAGAGAGTTCCGGGACACCCTGTATAAATGCATAAGACACAGTCAAATTATATAAATACATGCTGGTAGGGGCACAAGTCAAGTTCAGTCAACTAATAGTAATAGTAAACAATTAGTGTACAAGGTTTTACACATCATGCAAATAAATGTTACGTGTTACATTCCACAGCTTATCGTATATTTTATTTTGGTATGGCCCTCGTTTGGTGTAGGTGAAGGATCTCAGAATTGGCGAAACCAAAGCACAGACACAAATTTGTTTGACGAATTGTAGAAGTCCTACTAAGATACGATGGCCTTTAAAATAAAGAACTTGCAAGATGATTTGGTCAAAGTATGCTCCTACCTACGACTACCAATCCCCTTATGAAGACTAACCTTTTCAAAGTTATTAAAACCTTTACATCCCAGAAAGAATATATATAAAGTTAATATATAAATTTATATATAAAGTTATTATAAAGTTAGTGGAAACATGACCTAAACTTATTCAAATTATGTCACTTCTTCCTGAAGTTCCTTGTATTTCGGAATTTCAGACAATTAACGTAAATTCCAACTTAACATTTCCAACAATTGTTGACGTTTGATATTGATATTGTTGATGTTGAGTGTGTGATAAAAACTTACTGTGTGTCTGAGATGTTTGATATTGTCGGGGTCGTCGACACGACAACTGTGTTCCAGTAAATACTCTACTGCTCCTGGCGTTACAAACACCTGTAACATACACTTCTGCTTTTAAACTGCACAGAACATATCAAATAGTAAAAACCGTTTTATAATAATCCTGGGAAAAGGCAGCGGAACTACAGTACACCAATTCTAAGGAAACATCTAATGTATAAGTAATAGAGTGCTGATGTTATTATCTCACTCCATTCTACAAACATCCTTTAACTATACCTAGCTTAAAATATGGACCTAGGTGGTGCTGTTGTCTCAAAGACGAAGATAGATCTAGCAGAGGCTCTATACTGTACGGCAAGTACCTCACATCATTAGCACGTGTACATTAACACTTTCTCTAACAAGAGTGTCTGATATGTAAATTCATCGATTTGATTCGACGGTTATTTTTTCATGAAAGAAATTCTTGCCATACGTCCATTATTAACATCGGTGTTTTTCTTACCTGGGACAGAACGAATGCGTTGTAAACTATCTGTATGATATTGTAGACTCTCATGAAGGTCTTGAGATTATAAGGTTTCCTCGAAGCCATGATCTTTGGTCCAAAATGTACCACAATCAATAGGTAAACAAGTATAGACAACGATACAGGGATCGGAGAGTGGGTTAGTGTCCAGGTCTTGGTAATACTCTCTGAAAAAATCCTCTAGTATTATATTCTGATTGACTGTTTCAAAATAATTGTATTGTTTTTTTTTTCATAACTGAAATGTGTTGATTTTAGGGGATAGTAGGGTTTTGTTTTATAATAAAAGTAAAGGTTTTTAATTATTAAGGTTTTTAGTTAGTCAGGTTAATTAGGTTTTTAATATAATTTTTTTTTTTTTTTTTAAGTAGTAAAGGTTTTGTAATTGTGCATATAGTTTTTAGTTCATACAATGAAATGAAAGTCAAGAGGCTTGTCTAAATCGACACATTTTGTAAGACACCTCTTATTTATGTAACACCAATAACAAGTTTTTGGTTTCATTGCTGATAGGTATGCCGTAAGACTCTTTTGGATATTGAATTAAAATATAAGCACGGTTCTCAAAGTAAAAACTTGTTGTACAGTTTAAGTAACCTCTTTTTAAATTGAATTATTTGTTTGGCGTTTTTTTTATTTTTTTTTTATTTTTTTTTTTACTCGCATCAGCACCACTTCAACTAGGTTGTCTAGGTCTAGGAAATTTGAGCCCTATACCTGAATTAAAAGAAAATAAATAATAAACTAAGCGGTAAAATTGAGTTTGCATTTAAAAATAATTTAGAGATTTATAACCATTTCATACAGAATATCTGAAGAATCATGTCATTCTCTCCCATAGCAAAACACGGGAATATTGCCAATGTTAATTTTAATACCGTTTATATTTTAAATAAAATATATGTGGTAATATTTGCAAGGAATACAGTAATATTCAATTGGATGTAGGGTTATTTTTTTTTACAAGTAGCATTTTATGAACTGTTATTAATATGTGCGTTAACTCTATATTGCATATTGATAAACGAACCAAATTAACAGGATTACAGTATACGTTCAAGATGGATTAAACACTGCTATGTGTGTGACTTAACTAATAGGAAAATATTTGGTTTTTCCTCCGTTTATTTTGGGGTACTATATCATTCTGTTTAAAATTAAAGAGAAATCAAATGTATAAAGGTACTTTGAGTCGTCACGATTGAAAATAGCGTGGCTTCATGTCTTCAGGCTATTCATATTGTTTGTAAGATATTGCTATGAGATTGCTTATATCAACTCAAAGTATGCAGGATTGTACCATGCAATCTAAAGACAAGAAATATCATTCTCTATTTGAGTATAAGGTGTAAAAAGAGTCACTTAGTTTTAAATTGTTGATCATGGACGTTCATTAGAAAGAAATTTTTAGTTTTTGGAAGGCAAGCAAAAGTAAACTTTTTTTAATAAAAAGTACTTTTTATCGTAGGATAGATATGATGTTAACGTTTTTAACAACATATTACTTTAATAGATTAGAATACAAGTACGTGTGAGTAATTTTTATTGACTTAATAATTTTTAGCGTCGTAAAAAAAATTATTGAAATGATTCAATTACTATCCTCCTTGGTGTTACCTTTTACTACGGATAGAATTTATCATTCCAATATAGTTTTTAAGTTGTAGCTAGTTATAGAACTAAGATTAGAAATCAAAATGAACTCATCCACCAACAGAATACGCCTATTAGAATGAATTATATTACCTGCTGATTTATGTCAAATAAGTCATCTTTGAACCGAACTAAACCAAACTGAAAAGACAGCCTATTGTAAATTGTAGCATCTTTTATGTTTTATTACAGTATCAAAAGATTCTGGGAGAAGAATTTATGCTCTGGTCAAAATAAATTAGGTACAGCTAGTCCTCGTATATAAAATCACTACTTCGGTATTCCTAAATCAACGGTTTAATATGAAACGTCACAAGTGGCCTTTAAAAACAAGTACCTTGCTAACAAGCTAGCATATCTTTAAAACACAAACAGTTATTTTGAGCCCTATATCAATCCTGTAGTACTCTATATCTTAAAATAAAAAAATAAAATTCTATAAGCTTTTTTGTAATTTCTTCCTTGTTTCGAATGCATGTTGATGATTCTCTAGATAAGGGGCATTTACGTTTAATGTTTTAAATTTCTCATATACTTAAGAAATAACATTTACTTTAGTTGTTAGACAACAATAATAAAGCATATGCAGGCACTTTTGTCAATAACAATAATGTCCTTTGTCAATCTATGTTATTGATCTACATTAAGATAATAAAAAGTTTCGAGATTTCATAACTTTGTCTTACAAGTTTATTGAAGCTTTTGAAAAAAGGTTTTAGAAAGGGCAAGTTTGTAAAGTTAATATAATCTTGGAAAAAGTTAAAATAACAAGCCGTAAAAAGTTCTTGAAATTTCAAAACCTTTCAATAAACTTACCTTTGTCCACCATTTTGTAAAAATCCTCGGAACCAGTTGACGAAAAATTGGAAAGAGCCATTTCTGAACCACTAAACACAACTTGATTCTAACAGAAGAACACTTGAGAGTTAGCAGTAGTTGTGTAACTCTGTAGACTCCGTACCATGTGAGTCGCAACTACGATGCTGTATTGGCTAAGATCCTAAACAGGTTTTTCTACTCACAAGTATTGAGACAAAAACCAAATAAATAAAAACAATCAGCTGGACATATAAATCCAGTTATATGCTATTACTATAGAAAAATACTAATGTAATTAGCACAGCTGCAATTCCTTGGCGGGCGTTTATAACAATTGCACGTTATAATACATACAAGGAACTACACTAAGCAAATTTCCATTAACAAAAGAGAAACTTACAGAAACTTTACATTTATTTACAGCCCAATAATGCAGCAAGGTCTTAAAAAACTTAACAAACGGAATACCAATCTGAACGTTTAGTATAACGCCAGTGGAATGCCACTACGATATGGTGTACATCGCTAAAGAAAACCATGGTGCTGCGTTGATCGGAAACTGGTTTTATTGGTTATAACAAAACGAAAATAAAGGTCTATATTGTTTCATGGAATCCTTCGTTAGCAAGATATCCGCAATCTTTTATATTCAATTTTTATATCTCTAAAACTGTTAAATGTGTCCGTATTAAATTTAATATTAGATTTAAAATAACAATGCGTTATTTGCAAAAAAATATAAAAAAATGTATTAAGAAAAAGCATTTTACTGTTAGAGTAAGATTTTTCCATTTTATTTTCATAACTTAAATGACAAAAAAAATGGCTAACTTTAAGAAACATTTCAAGAACATCTTCATTTAGCACGCAACATTTCCTTTCAAGCGATACAATACTAAAAATGATGATATAACAAACAGCAGAATAATCCAAAATGTTTGTTGTAAAATTCGGCAAATAAGGGTAGTTACACCTCATTGAGACTTATTTTACGAGTAAAAATCCTGGTATTTCACCTTTTTATCTATATTTTGACTTTGGTCATGTTTTATTAGAATTGGAATTTTTGAATACTAAATATAAGTGTTTGATTGTTACAGGTCACCCTGTATAATTCACCTGTTCAAACAATAACCTTTTCATACAGTTATCAAATAAAATCAAATCGTTTATTGTCGAAACAAAATACATTGTATAGCACCGTATATCACAGCATTGTATATCTGACAAAGGGGGCTTTCTTGCACTGATTATAGGACGCAAAGTAGCTAAATCCTGCGTTTACTTACTTTGCCGCACTCATTCCACTTTGTTGAACTCATTTAACTTTGCTGCACTCCAGTATTTGAACCAAACAACACAAAATAGTGTGCTTGTATTAGGCACGTTTTACGTGTATACTTGAAAATAAGTTTGCAACATAGCAAAACTGATCAGCTGGGGCTGTGCATTACAAACCAACAATATATTAAGGCTATGACTCATTATGTTTGTGAACATTTTTTAAGGCTTGTTTTGTTAATTTGTGAAACAATTTCATTAAGGTTTTAATTTTATTGTGAGACGATTTATTTTTTGTTTAAATTTGTTAATTTGTGAAATTGCATAGTAACAGTTAACTAATATATACATACCATTACCCATTCATTATTTATGCTTTATGAAGCTGTATGAAAAATATCATGGATAACACGAGCGCAAAGTCTCTTGGCTGCACTTGAAAGAGATTTTAACGCATGACTCCAAGGCAAGTGTGGAAAGTTTCTCGAGTCCAGCTAAGTGCCACTTTGCGCACTAGTTACACAAATAATTACTGTAAGCCTATGCTTTACCATCAAGAGTACATTAGAAAAATTATTAAAGAATATATCATGTACAACGGTTATGTTTAGGCCACAGGCTATTACAAGTTTCAATAAATAATCAATTTGTTATTTTTTGTACTATTTCCTACCAAAAAAGTTAACCTAGGGAGATTTGTTTGGAAATAAATAACAAAACCCTTCCATCAGGTCACCTTATCTTTATTTTTCACATCAGAACCTTTTACGATGTACGACTTTATGTAAAAGTTAAGAAAAAGACAGAGAATAAAGAACACGTTGGCCAGCCATATGTAGGTGAAGGAGCGAGAGATAGGACACTGTTTGTAGTACAGAATACTGATGTAGGCCAGGATGACTACGAACTGGAACTGAAGTTACAAACATTATGAGTACAGGCCTATACAAGCTGAAATTACCATTATGAGTGTAAAATGAGTTGCCTTTTGGACCTTTACCGACTAATACCAGTTGTTTCATCAGCCAAGACCATTTATAAATACCCAATGATCAGGGACAGCTGGGTCGTGTTTAGAAAAAATCTAAAAGATACTGACTTTTCTCAGTATCTAATCTAGTGACTTTTTGATTATTACCATATATTTTTTGTCCTAGGACGCAAGGCAAGAGCCCGGAAAAGTTTCTCATTACTTCAGGCAGGACATAAGGGTTGAGGCATTATCACTTAGATCAAATCCATTGGTGACTTGGCGGGATTTGAACCCGGGACCTCAGGGACCAAAGTCCCGCGCTCTAACCACTAGACCAGCTATAAATAAATAAAATAAATAAATAAATAAATAAGGTCTTTATTAATGAGCGAATTTCAGTTACAAAACTGTTTTACAAATTGACTCAAGTCAGGACTTAAACTAAATAAAACCTCTTATAACAAAATAAGATTAGTTACAAACTCTTTAGGAGATTCTTAAAACTGTTGTAAGACAGTGCTTTTAGCTTGCAAGGAAGTGCATTGTACTGAGCCGGCCCGAAGTAAGAAAAACCCCTTCTACCATCATCAAGAACAACCCTTGGTATGTCAAGCAACAAGTCCTGTCTAGTTCTGCGCTCTCTCACGGCCGACCTCGCTTTCAGTTTTTCTTTCAAGTACTGTATTGCCTGAGTGACCAGTGTTTTGTGGACGATACATGCAACCTGCTTATCACAGCTCTCTCGGACGGACATTGTATTTGAGATCCTACGGTGACTTGTTATATGATCATATTTTTTAAGTTTGTATACGAACCTTAGGGAGCAATTCTGTCCCCGATTACTACTATATACTAGCACTATAACCACTTGGCTTAAAATTCAGTTAATATTTTTTCAGCAAACCTTTTGTGATACCGATGAAACCAATATGTATATAATCATTTGTTCCATGAAAGTGATATTTTAGCAAGGCAACATTTAAAAATAAACAAGCTTCAACTACGTGAACAATTGTTTAAATGTTATCTTAAAATAATCTATAAAATTTTGCTTTCTAAAAATAAAATCGCTATATCCGTCTTCAAAGGTGGTTTGTATTTATTTTAAATTTAATTAACTACAATTGTTGAATACAAAAACATTGAAATAGCTGTCCAGTCAATGATAAACTTACCAACTGCAGTTTGGTTAGGTGATGTTTCCACCACAGATATTTCTTGAAGGCTTTGAATGTTGTCAAAAAGTAGTAACTGTACATGATTGCGTGCACAATCAAATTTATAAATACTGGAATGGATCCCTGGGAAGCTGGAACATACGATAAAACATGCAAATAATGTATTTAATATAAAAGCCAGTTCGTAAAAATGACTAGATTAAATACCAGTATTCATATGGGTTGTATTAGTCAATAACTATAGATCTGCGTTTGTACGATTAATAATATTATGATGTTAAGAATATTGACTTTTACAATGTTTGTCTATGTATATTTTCTAGCGTGATCAGATATTTTTGCCGATATATTTATTAGATACCACTGGCCTTTGAAGCTTTTATAATCGAGCATCAAGAAACAAAGGAATAATATTAGATCAATAACCTACTCTATCTACCTTTACAAAAGCTATCAAACATGATGTACACCATATAGCATAATGTATTAAACATAAAATAGCTGTATCATAAGAGCTCGGTGTCATATAAGCATTTACCTTTAATGAACCTCAGTGAGAACCAAGGGAAGAACACCATGGCTGCGTGGTGATACACGTGGAGGAATGTTATATGTGAATTCTTCTTTCGCAACACCATGAATACCTATTTCATACCACAGATTAGTTTAATGGAATATCTAATAAAGTGACTATATAACGATAACCTATTTTTATTTACCTATATTTACCTATATTTTATTTATAGGGTACTGACAAATATATTTTCAAATGGTTCATACACGGATATAATACATAAACATTCGTTTTCTGTGTATGTTGAAAAATAAATATGCGGCTATATTAATTTAAGAAGTGTTTATAAACGGAAATAATAAAGTTTTCTTCTACTGCACCAAAAACAACCGTTTTTATACATGCATTGTGGGTCTAAAGTAGCATTTGTACTCGGTAGAGAGTAAAAATCAGCTGTAATAAACAGTTGTCTTTCAATTGTAGCAATCACATGGATCGAAATTATTCATCGATTTAATTGTTGGGTTAAGATCATCAGTTGCATTATTGTAAATAGTTCGACGTATCAATAGTATATTGTATAGTAACATAATCGTAATATTCGAAAATGATTGAATCACTACTAAGCAACTGCTTAATAACATTAACAGAATTGAAAACAAACTGGAAGTTACTGTTAACGTAAAGACAACCTCTCAAAACGACTTCCAGTTTGTTTTCAATCGTTTACTAACTTGGTTTGTTAATTGATTATGCAATATTAAGAAACATCTAGTTAACCACGCAGGCAAAAAGAATCACCTTACACCCTAGTGATAAAATAAACTATTTTACTTAATAATGGTTTTTTGAAACCAATTCTTATGGAAGATATAAAGGAACACGTAGGATTAAGGGGTGAAGAGAAAACATATTACAACACAGTACAAGCAGAGTTAACCCACATAAATGACTTACTCAAATATCAAATGTCAGTGGCCTCTAGCACTTCTGTCTTGTGTCATTCACTCAGCAAATTTACTTTACCATATTGTTTTACAATTAAGAATGTACTAGTTTCATCTACATTTTCCTCAAAAGTTTTACTACAATGTTTATGTTCTTATTATTTGCTGAATGGGTTAAGCAAGTCACTGATGACTGAGTCTACGCACAGGGTTTCAGCTTATAAATAAT